GAAACCCAAGGAGGGGTCACTATGAGTCGGGGCCAACTTGACAGCACATAACAACAACATATATATGACTCAATAAACATTGAGTCATTTGACACATAACATCATTTGACACTTTTCCTCACTCCATGCTTTATGACTGGGGGGTATTAATTCATTCAACAGACATTTATTGAAGACCTGCTGTATGCCAGGCATTGCTTTATCATAGAAGGAAAACTGGGCAGTCTACTTCCACAAAGATTTACCCCCTCAGAAACCCAAAGGGGGTTGCTATGAGTCAGAATTGACTCGATGGCAGTGAGTTTAGTTTGGGTTTGGTTTATATACCATACACTGTGCCAAGCACTTTACATGGATCATCTTATTAATTCTCATATAACCTAATGAGGTAGATATTCTTATATCCCATTTATGAAATGAGGATACTGAGGTGCAGAGAAAGAAATGAAGGTGGCCAGGGCCCCACCACTAGAAAGTGGCAGATAAGAAACCAGGACCCAGGTAGTCTGATCTGGAGTTGGACTCTTAGCCTCTACACACACTGCCTCTTAAGGGGAGGGGAAGGGGAAAAGATGGGCGTGGCCAGGACGGAGCACCCTTATAATTAATCAGAGAAGTCTGGTATCCCAGCACAAGAGGTGAGGGTGAGGCTGCTGCAGAAGAGGGTAATGTTTTTCTCCAAGCTTTCCATGACACTAGTGAGGCTTAGAAGGAGCTCTGATGGTGTGTGGTTAAGGCATTTGGCTACTAATCAAAAGGTCGGTGGTTCAAACCCACCAGCTACTCTGCAGAAGAAAAATTAGGCGATCTGCTTCCCTAAAGGTTTACAACCTTGGAAACCCAATTGGGTTCGTTATGAGTCGGAATCCACTTGATGACAGTGAGTTTGGGTTTGCGTCTGAGTGAGGCCTAGAGGGCAAGCCAAGCATCCCAGTTCGTGAGAACTCCGCGCATTTCCTCCTCCCGCCTTCTTTCGGCAGGGACCGCGTGGCGCGCATCGGGCTGGGCGTGATCCTGAACCTGGCGAAGGAGCGCGAGCCGGTGGAGCTGGCGCGCAGCGTTGCAGGCATTTTGGAACACATGTTCAAGCACTCGGAGGAGACGTGCCAGCGGTTGGTGGCGGCCGGCGGCCTCGACGCGGTACTGTTCTGGTGCCGCCGCACGGATCAGGCGCTACTGCGCCACTGCGCGCTGGCGCTGGCCAACTGCGCGTTGCACGGCGGCGCAGCCGCACAGCGGCGCATGGTGGAGAAGCGTGCCGCAGAATGGCTCTTCCCGCTCGCCTTCTCTAAGGAGGACGAGCTGCTGCGGCTGCACGCGTGCCTCGCAGTAGCGGTGCTGGCAACCAACAAGGAGGTGGAGCGTGAAGTGGAGCGCTCCGGTACCCTAGCGCTCGTGGAGCCGCTCGTGGCCTCCCTGGACCCCGGCCGCTTCGCCCGCTGCCTCGTGGACGCCAGCGACACAAGCCAGGGCCGAGGCCCCGACGACCTGCAGCGTCTTGTGCCACTGCTGGACTCATCGCGCTTGGAGGCACAGTGCATTGGGGCTTTCTACCTCTGCGCGGAGGCCGCCATCAAGAGCCTGCAGGGCAAAACCAAGGTGGGTGAGGGTACGGGGTTGGATGGGACTGGGGTTAGAGAGTGTCTGGGAAGGTTTCCGGAGGAAGTGATATTCCTCTAGGACCGGAAGTACACGTAAGAGTTAGGTGAAGGCAAAGTGAGGGATGACAGGCCTGGCATTCGGACTTGAAGGCAAGACCAGGATTGAACTTGGTGTTTGGGGCAAGATTAAGCCCCTGAGAAATTTTAAAGCAGGGGATATCTGTGTTTTACAAAGATCCTGGCTGCTGGATGGAGAAAGCATTGGGAAAGGTGAGGTTGGAGGCAAGGGGGCCAAATAGAAGGCTATGACAGGGGACAATTGAGATGGTGGGAAAAGGGAGTAGGGCGTGACAGCCGAGGCAGAGAGAAGCAGATAGATTCGTGAAGTGATAAAGAACTGGATTTAGGATTGAATGGGTGGCTCAGCAAAGGAGAGGGAGTTATGAAGATGGCTGTAATTACGACTTATTATTATTATTATTACTTTATTTTACTTACTGGTTGAGGGCAGGGCTAGGACGGATGGTGGGACTTTCAGCAGTGAGGAGACAGGAGAGTGACGGCGCGTTCAAGGCTGCTGGTTAACTGGTGGATACAAAACGCCCTCTCCCCTCTTCCCCGCAGGTGTTCAGCGACATCGGTGCCATCCAAAGCCTGAAACGCCTTGTCTCCTACTCCACCAATGGCACTACGTCGTCTCTGGCCAAGCGTGCGTTACGTCTAGTGGGCGAGGAGGTGCCGCGACCCATCCTGCCTTGTGTGGCCAGCTGGAAGGAGGCCGAGGTCCAGACGTGGCTGCAGCAGATCAGCTTCTCCCAGTACTGCGAGAGCTTCCGGGTAGAGCCGCCGGCGGCCTCCTCCCCAGAATTTGAGCGGGGTGGGGGTGGGGTGGGCCTCTCCAAGGGTCCCATGGCCGCTAGGGGGCGTCCTGGGGTCCTGCACAAACGCAATAGCATTCTCTTGAGGCCAGCACACGCCCCTGCTGCAGAGCTGCCGCTTACGGGTGGAGAACCTGTACTTAGTCACCTTTGAGATCACTCGGCTCCGATCTGGGTCCCACTCATTCCCCTCTGCCAGGTCCTGTTCTCTCCCCTTGCATCATGTGTCTGGTGCCCCAGGGCTGAGGAGGAGAGTCTTTCCTTAAACTTGTCCCCTCCCCTAGGAGCAACAAGTGGATGGTGATCTGCTTCTGCGGCTCACGGAGGAGGAGCTCCAGACGGACTTGGGGATGAAATCAGGCATCACTCGCAAGAGGTATGGAGCCTCCTGCTCGCCCAACTCCAGCTAAGTAACAAAATGCCCCTCCGCCATAGGCCAGTCCTGAGTCAGCACCTCAACATCCTCTCTTCCATGGGGTTCAGGTTCTTTAGGGAGCTCACGGAGCTCAAGACCTTCGCCAACTACGCGACATGCGACCGCAGCAACCTGGCCGACTGGCTGGGCAGCCTGGACCCGCGCTTCCGCCAGTACACGTATGGCCTGGTCAGCTGCGGCCTGGACCGCTCCCTGCTGCACCGCGTGTCGGAGCAGCAGCTCCTAGAGGACTGCGGCATCCGCCTGGGCGTTCACCGCGCGCGCATCATCTCGGCCGCCAGAGGTCAGCCTGCCACCGGGGATCCCAGCCCCCAGTCAGCCCTGGCTGTGTGTGTGTGTGTGTGTGTGTGTGTGTGTGTGAGAGAGAGAGAGAGAGAGAGAGAGAGTGAGAGTGAGTGTGTGAGAGAGAGCAAGAGAGAACACACAACGGGGCCTCAGAGCCTCTCTAGTTTGTGCTCTGGGGATATACAGGTGAATGTATTACTTTCTGTCCTGAAGAAGGGCCCAGTCTGAGACGGGTAGCAGAGTGAGAGTGAGGCAGGGAGGTAAAGAATCTACCGCTGGTGGCCTTAAGAGAACCCAGAGGAAGCACTCACTGTCTTAGGTATAGACTTTCATGAGGAGGGGATGCTTGAGCAAGTCTTGAAGGATGTACTGGGGGTACAGAGTAGAGACAGGAGTAAAGGCATCTCAGGGAGAGGGAACAGACTGTACAAAAGTGTGGTTTGACAGAGAGCATGGAGTGTACATAGGAGCTCTGGTAGCATAGGGCCTAGGGCACTTGACTGCTAACCAGAAGGCTGGCGGTTCAAACCCACCAGCCACTCCTCGGAAGGAAGGTTGGGCATTCCTACTTCCGTAGTGATACTGCCTCGGAAATCCAAGGAGGGGTCGACTCGATGGCAAATAACAACAACAACAACAACAACATGGAGTGTACATAAGGGGGCAGGGTTGGGAAGTTTATCCTGTTAGCCAGGAGCTGACAGCGTATGGGTTGTGGAGGTGCTTTCTTTCTTTCTTTTTTTTAATTCTTACTGTGATTTGGGTGAAAGTTTGGAGAGCAAATTCACTTTCCGTACAGCAGCTCACGTACACTTTGTCTCATGACATTGACTGCGATCTCCCACAATGCAACAGCTCCCCTCTCACTTCCTCCCCTTAGTTACCTCTTCCCTGTGTCCTTCCCTCCATGCACTCCTGCCCCCCCACCCAAAGTGTCTCCCTGTGCATACATAGCCCTTCTATTGTCCCATGATTGTTCTCTCCAAAGAGTATATTTACCTAATGTAAATGTTCAGCTCATACGCCTGCCTTTTGTTTGGCTGGAACCCATAGGAGTGGGTTCAATTCCAGACCTGAAGGGCAGCTAAGGGCCCTTCTCAGGGTTTCCACCAGGCTGTACCAGACCAGCAAACCGGGTACCCCCCCTCTTTTTTTTTTTTTTATTTTTATTTTTGTTCCACATTGTTCTCTGTCTCTATCCAGAATCTCCTACATAGATACCCCTCTGAGTGGTTGAGAGTGGTAGCTGGGCACCATCTAGTTCTGGTCTCTTAGTCATATAGACTGAGGATCACATGGTGTACCAGTCACTTGGACTAATTTGTTTCCATGCATCTTTGGTTTTCTTCATTCTACTTTGCTCTGGATGAGGAGAGACCCATTGTTGCATCTAGATGGCTGCTTGCAAGCTTTTAAAATCCCAGTCACTACTTGCCAAAGTAGGATGTGAAACAGTGTTTTTGTGTAGTATGTTATGCCAATTGAGCTTGATGTCCCCTGCGACTATGGTCCTGAGCCCACAGGTCCAACTACTCACTCCCTCAGGGTAGCTGGCTGTGGCCAGGAAGTGACTACAACCTTTTCCCTTGTCAGCTCTACTACATACCTGGGAATTCTTAAAGAATATACAAATAACTTGGAGAAATGTTGTCTGCCAACCCTATACATGATCATGGGCACACTCCGTCTGCATAGACGTACCTAACAGTTCAGCCTGTCCGCCCATCTATCACCTGTAGGTCAGTGTTTGCCTTCACTGACAGCACAGTACTGTGTGTGCAGAAGGGCTCATCTTTGTGGTCTGTGTGTGGAGGTGCTTTCTTGAGGGCAGCGTAGAACCTAGGGTTCCAGCAACCTCTTCTTTTTTACTGAGAGATTAGCTAATATTTTTTCGGCAATTACTACATGCCAGGTACTATACTAAATTTTTAAAGGCTATCATCTCGTTAATCTGTACATCCATTCTATGCAGTGGGGATTAATTTTTTTTTAATCAACTTTAAAAACTTTTCAAAGAATAAACAGGTATAATTAAACCAGTTCAAGGAGCTTTGAAAAATATATAGCCCTGAGTTACTATTATCACAAAGATAAAGAATATTTTCATTCCGTTGTGGATGTTAATTTTATTTATTTATTTGATGTTTATTGTGATTTGGGTGAAAGTTTACAGAGCAAATTCATTTTCCATACAGCAGTTCATACACATTTTGTTTCATGACACTGACAGCAGTTCCCCACATACCTTGTGGATGTTAATTTTAAAGATGGTGAAACTAAGATGTAAAGAGTTTAAATAAATTGTCCAGGGCTATAAAAGCCATTAAGGACAACTGAGATTTGAACTCATGATGTTCTGCTTCATAAACAAATATTGTGTGTGGGTGTTAAGCCTGAGTATTTTAAGAAAATAGATTCTCTTCTTTTATCCATTTCTTCAACAAACGTTTACTGAGCACCCACCAGAGACAAAGATCTGGGCTTTGCCCTGTCTTTTGCTTCAGCTAAAGCAGGTTGGGTTTTATCATTTTTATATTGTAGCTCCCAATAAAATCTCCAAGATTTATTTTTATTGTTTTTTAATGGGAGGGTCCTAGAGCTCAAATATCTTACAAACCCTTTCTATAGGGACTAGGGAGCCATTCACAGTTTTTAAGTGGGGGCAATAACACACTCAGATTTGGGTTTTAGGAAGATCTCTTTGGCACTGTGGCAAATGGATTAGGCTGGGCAAGATTTGGGGAGACCGAGGAGGAGGCTGAAGTTAGCACGGCCCAGGGCCAGAGTCCAGAGTGTTTAGTAGATAGAATCCACAGAGCACAGTGCTTGGTTCTGAGGGTTGAATGTCAACTCCATGAGGGCAGGATATGTCTGTTTCATTCACTGCTAGATGCAAGAATAGGGGTAGTACCTGGCACACAGTAAGTACTTAATATTTGTTGAATGAATCTATGAAAGGCAGGAGTTGAGCCTGATACCAGGTGTCTGGCTTTGGTGGGAAACTGTGAATAAGGGAGGAGGGGAAATTTGGGGTGTGTTGGGTTGAGAGTGCCTTTGGGCAGCTGGCTTGTACAGGTCTGGAGATCCAGAGAGAGGGCAGGACTAGTCAGGCATATCAATGTCCCTTAAGCACAATGCCTGCCTCCTGAGAGGGGCTCACCAATGATTAGCATCCTTCCTTCTTGTAGCCTCAATTTTATCATCTGCAAAATGGAGGTAACTTACCTGTAGACCCCATCTCTCCACGACCCTTTTTAGAGCAAGTCCCACTCTAGTCACCAGCCATCTGCCGAGGCTGGGCAGATGGGACTAAGTCCCCAAGTGGTGACGTATCTCATGATGAGTGATGAGGAGGGTCCACCCTCACCATGTTGTCTCTTATCTACCTCAGAAATGCTACACTCCCCACTGCCCTGCACAGGCTGCAAGCCCAGTGGGGAGACCCCAGATGTTTTCATCAGCTATCGCCGGAACTCAGGCTCCCAATTGGCCAGGTGAGGAGTGGCAGGAGAGCAGCCTGGGGCTTTGGGCTGAGGCCATGACCATGATCTGAGACTTCTTTGCAGCCTCCTGAAGGTGCACCTGCAACTGCATGGCTTCAGCGTCTTCATTGATGTGGAGAAGCTGGAAGCAGGCAAATTCGAGGACAAGCTCATCCAGAGTGTCATGGATGCCCGAAACTTTGTGTTGGTGCTGTCGGCTGGGGCACTGGACAAATGCATGAAGGACCATGACTGCAAGGACTGGGTGCACAAGGTAGGTGCTGGCCTGGCTCTCTGTGTTCCCAGCACTAGCCTGCGGCCTTGGGGATGAACTCCTCCTCCCAGCTCTTCTCATCTGCTCACCCCAGCAACACTTAACCACTGAGGCACCTCCTTGGCCCAGCTGGTAGTCAGCAGCCACATCTCCGACTGTGATAGGAATTTAGCAAGCTACTTAGGTTCTCTGAGCCTCAGTCTCTTTTTTTTGTTATTGTTTATTCACCTTGTAAGGAGCTCTGGTGGCACAGTGAGTAAAGTATTTAGCTGCTAACCAGAAAGGTCGGTAGTTTGAACCCACCAGCCACTCTGCAGGAGAAAGATGTGGCAGTCTGCTTCCGTAAAGATGTACAGTTTTGGAAACCCTGTGAAACAGTTCTACTCTGTCCTATAGGTTCACTATGAGTCAGGATTGACTGGATGGTAATGAGTATGTTTTCTTGCATGTTTATTCACCCTGTAGGATAGTTGTTAGGGTCAGAGAGGGTTGAAATGTTTTGGACAGAGGGGCAGGAGAGCATGTAACAAGCAGAATGAAATGAGTAAAGAGTTGGGAATTTGAATTCTGGCTCTGGCCTTCGTCAAGCTATTTAACCCCAGTGAACTTCATGTTTTTTATTGGCAAGTAGGGCTAATAATAGTCCTAACTCCCTACCACATTGTTATAAGGATTAAAAGAACTAAAGTTGTGACATGCTTAGCAGAGTGTCTGGCACATGGTAACGGCTCAATAATAGTAGCAATTATTATTGTTAATGTAATTAGTATGAGTGCTACCACTGTTCAGTTTATCATTGTATCTTCAGTGCTTGGCATTCAGTAGAAACTTATTGAACATTTATGGAATAGATGGATGGGTGGATCCATGTCTCCTCTGTAGGTCTTTT